GGAGACAGGGAAAGAGGGAAGGGGGGGGGGGTAGTTGAGAGAGTGAAAGACTAAAAGAAAGTGAGAGTGCTACGATAAGGTCGCTCTCCTTCCCTCACACACGCAAGGCTCCGACATATCGATGAGCATTGTTGACTTACTTCTCATTGACTTCCTGTAGGATGCTGCTTGTGGATCGCAGGGGGGGGCTGGAGACCTGGGGCGCCTCCCTCACTCTGTCCTGCAGGTGGCGCAGTTCACACGACATCTCCTGTCTCAGCCCCTCCACCTTTCTCTCCAGCAGGGACTCCGTCACCTCTCCCCGCACAGCAGCCGACCGGCGCACCTCCTCTGCAAGATACACGAGATGGTCAGTTAGTGGGAGCAGGGACTGACGGAGCGGAGGGCTCCCCGACTTCCCCTAACCCCCACCGGTGTCCTGAGCGAGCACGGATTCCCGGGATTTGGCTCCGCTGTGCTCGGTCAACGATTCTGAGCAGACAGGAGAAGGATTTCTCTGTATAGATTATATAGTAAATCACAGGAGGGGACTGGGAATGATCCGGAAAGTGTTACATCCGAGGAGGGAATCCTACACAACAAATCACTAGAACGGGGTGTGGCGGAGCGCTAGATCCAAATATTTGTGGGTATTTGGATATATTGATGCCCCTCCCCCCACACACACCTTCCCACCCCCCATCTAAAGTGCAGTTGCATTTTTTTCAATCATTTAGTTTTCAAAAAAATACCCCTTTGGAGACCCAATGGTCTTTGTTCCACAGTGAGATCCAGTTTGGTAGGAGGGGCCTATGATCACAAAGACCAAAAATGACTGATGGCAGAGAAAACTAAATTGCTGTGAGAGGCGGGGCCAATGACAATGCGGATCAGGAGGAGAGGGGACGGATGATGATTGAAGTTGTTCAGACAGGAAATGAAGGCGGGCTCAAGATGATGCAGCTTCAAAAGGGTTATATTGTGGAGATGTGAGCACCACACAACTCAGATCCCCGACCTCTCTCACCTTCCAGGTTCTGTATCCTCTGCAGATGGAGGTCGCGGTCTCGTTCCAGACGTCCGATGGCCTGGTGCAGGGAGGTGATCATCTGGGGGGGAGGAGAGACATTGAATGAAGGTCAGGCTGGACTTTCTCACCATCCACTCGACCTGGCACAGCTCTGGAGGAAACATTGGGGGGGGGGATTTATCAAAACTGGAGCAGAGATAATCTGGAGCAGTTGCCTATGGCAACCAATCAGCATCTCCCTTGAGTTTGCCCAGAGAAGCTGATTGGTTGCAGTGCAAATCTGCTCCCGTTTTGATAAATTCCCCCCCCCAATGTTCTCGCATGATTCCTCAACCTGAGCCCAACGGACCCGTCTGCAGGGCCACATGATCAGTCCATTGGGGGAGGGGATGGTGAAGAGGGAAGATGGGGGTGATAATTGGATCAAATCGATAATCTCCTGCAAAGGGCGAGAAAAGAAAACTGAAGACAGAGGAAGGAATTCTCCGACATCAAAAAATGTCCAGAAAAGGAAAAAAGTTTACAATGTATAAAGAAAACTAACACGTCTTGTCCATCCCAATCCACCCCCCTCCCCCTGCTGGATGCTCACTGTGTCCCTGCGGGAGATATTACTTATCTACATTCATGGGGGAGGGTGACCCCGGGGTGACTATGGGGAACAACTGCACCGCCAGTCACAGTATGAGCCGTGTTCATGGGAGGAGGGTGACACCGGGGTGACTACGGGAAACGACTCCACCGCCAGTCACAGTATGAGCCACGTTCATGGGAGGAGGGTGACCCCGGGGTGACTACAGGAAACGACTCCACCGCCAGTCACAGTATGAGCCACGTTCATGGGAGGAGGGTGACCCCGGGGTGACTACAGGAAACGACTCCACCGCCAGTCACAACATGAGCCATGTTCATGGGAGGGGGGTGACCCCGGGGAACGACTCCACCGCCAGTCACACTATGAGCCGTGTGCATGGGAGGAGGGTGACCCCGGGGTGACTATGGGGACCGACTCCACCGCCAGTCACAGTATGAGCCATGTGCATGGGAGGAGGGTGACCCCAGGGTGACTACGGGGAATTAATCCACCGCCAGTCACAGTATGAGCCATGTTCATGGGAGGAGGGTGACCCCGGGGTGACTATGGGGAATTACTCAACCGCCAGTCACAATATGAGCCGTGTTCATGGGAGGAGGGTGACCACAGATCAGACTTACCTTTACCGAGCTCTGCCCGGCTGTACAATCGGTCCTGCAATAAGGAAGAAAAGGCAAAATTTAAAAAAGCCAGGGACCCAAGCGGGGGAGGGGGCACTACAGCCATGAACCCCCAGCGGGGGAGGGGGAATTAAAGCCATGAACCCCCACAATGGTGCCAATTGCCCCTCTTACTTTGATCTTGGCCACATTGTCATCCATGGCGGTCAGGACAGAGCCCACCTGGCGGTCCCAGTTCATGGCGGTCCTGACAGAAGAGGAATACAGGTCAGAGGAGGATACAGACAATAACAATCAGCTGGAAGAGAGAATGGAGATGACACGATACAGACACCCAGCTCACAGTGACTCTGATCCAGTACACGGATGATGAGGATAGCAGTGAAACACTCACCTGTCCCTCTAAGTTGCTCTCCCAACTTCGTCCCGATTGGCTGCATTCACTTTACGTTTCCTCTCTCCCCCATACTGATTTGGTCTCGCTGCTGTCCAGTGTCCCGAGCTCTCTTTTGTGATTGGTCAACCACCAACCGGTTCCGCCTTCGCGTCCTCTTTCCTGATTGGTTCGCAGGAGTTTACCTACGCCATGTCCTCTTAGCTGACTGGTTCTCTTGGGATGAGAGACCACTCTGCTCTTTCCTGATTGGCCGCCTTACTCCTGGGTCTCCCGGGTGATGGGACTGTAACGGCCGACGCGGGGGATGACGGGATAGGCTTCTGGGCGGCACCTAAGGAGGGAATCCCCTCCCCGCCTCCAACACACCTCCGCTCCGCCTCCATCACAACGCGCCCCGCCCCCTAATGACCTATACGGGGACAGGAGATGCACGTGGAGATCCGGGAGAGACTGCGGGGGGCGCTACAGCCCTATGGCTTCCAGATCTGCCCCTTCCAGGTGTGTATTACCCCATCCTACCCGCTGGGGGAAGCTACAGCCCTATGGCTTCCAGATCTGCCCCTTCCAGGTGTGTATTACCCCATACTACCACTGGGGGGCGGGGTGCTACAACCCTATAGGTTCCAGATCTGCCCCTTCCAAGGTGTGTATTACCCCATCCTACCACCAGAGGGTGCTACAGCCATATGGACTATAGATCTGTCTTCCAGGTGTGTATTACCCCATCCCACCTCCGGGGGGAGCTACAGCCCTATAGGTCGCAGATCTGCCCTTTCAATGTATTTACTACCCCATCCTATGCACCGGGGTAAGCTACAGCCCTATGAATTCCATATCTGCCCCTTGCAGGTGTGTATTACCCCATCCTACCACTGTAGGGCCCAACCCTATGGAGTCCAAATCTGTCCCTTTCAGGTGTGTATTGCTCCATCTTACCACTAGAAGGTGGGCACTACAGCCCTGTCTGTTCCAAATCTGGCCTTTCCAGGTGCGTATTACCCCATCCTACCCTCAGGAGACGCTACAGCTTTATGGATTCCAGATCTACCCCTTCCAGGTGTGTATTACCCCATTCTACCACCAGGGGGGGGGGGCACTACAGCCCTATGGATTCCAGATCTACCCCTTCCAGGTGTGTATTACCCAATTCTACCACCAGGGGAGAGCTTCAGACCAAGGAGTTCCAGACCTGCCCCTTCCAAGTGTGTATTACCCCATCCGGGGGGCACTACAGCCCTATGGATTCCAGATGTACCCTTTCCAGGTGTGTATTACCCCATTCTACCACCAGGGGAGAGCTTCAGACCAAGGAGTTCCAGACCTGCCCCTTCCAAGTGTGTATTACCCCATCCTACCATCAGGGGGGCACTACAGCCCAATGGATTCCAGATCTACCCCTTCCAGGTGTCTATTACCCAATTCTACCACCAGGGGGGCACTACAGCCCTGTGGATTCCAGATCTACCCCTTCCAGGTGTGTATTACCCCATTCTACCACCAGGGGGGAACTACAGCTGTATGGATTCCAGATCTACCCCTTCCAGGTGTGTATTACCCAATTCTACCACCAGGGGAGAGCTTCAGACCAAGGAGTTCCAGACCTGCCCCTTCCAAGTGTGTATTACCCCATCCTACCGTCAGGGGGACACTACAGCCCAATGGATTCCAGACCTGCCCCTTCCAGGTGTGTATTACCTCATCCTACCACCAGTGGGTGCTACAGCCCTGTGGATTCCAATTCTGCCCCTTCCAGGGGTGTATTACCTCATCCTACCACCAGTGGGTGCTACAGCCCTGTGGATTCCAATTCTGCCCCTTCCAGGGGTGTATTACCTCATCCTACCACCAGTGGGTGCTACAGCCCTGTGGATTCCAATTCTGCCCCTTCCAGGGGTGTATTACCCCATCTGTTTGTGCCAGGGGTGTTACGGTGGTAATTTGGCTCAGTGAGGAAGACGACCCATCGCATACAGTGATAGACCCGGCTCAGTGAGTAAGACCCCCGGCAGGATTTATTCTCGGAACTCTTCTCATTTCAGGTGGGCTGGTACAACGCCGTCCTGGATCCGATCTTCCACCTCCCTCACCCCGGTGACACGCTGGCGTTTGTGGTGCTCAGCACCCCGTCCATGTTCGAGAAGGCGTTCAAACCTTTCCTGACGGAGCAGAAGCTTCAGAGCCTCCGGGACCCGATCGACCAGTGCGTCTCCCATCACATGACGCTGGCCAAGGAGGTGAGCCGCACACGGAACGCCCCAATCACCGTACGGGGTCACGGCGGTCACTTCCTATTGGGTGACTGGAGAGAGATCAGATACCTATAGGGTATCAGCCACATGGGGGAAGG